CACTTTCACAAATATTATTTTAACACCAGCAAGTGTGGACACATATAGACACTTTGTCATTGTTAAAATTAACTTTGTGGGTGTTAAATTAACAATGGCATTTTTGCTGTTATGGTTATGGAGAGTTGGGATAGATGGACACAGAGCTTTTGTCAAACCTTCATGTCCCTCAGATGAAGTACACAAGATTAGAAACAGGTGTTCACACGTGCTCTGAGATTGCCAGAGCCGGGCAGTGGTCTCACTAGTGCAAAGAGGTCTAATTCAATGCCACAGACATCACAGACCATTGTCATGKAGTCTCRTCACYATTTTRTGGYGATTGAGCAGATTGTGCCTATAGGACTCCAACCAGTGYACTTAAAATTTTCTTAGYGATCGACCAAGCGGTCCACCTAGACCGAGTCCTTTGAAGGACGCAGCCCCTGTCAAGGCAATGAGAGCTTTCCCAAAGCCAAGATGTGGGTCATTAACCAGTTCTTGTGCCTGTCTACAGTCCATCAGCTCCCTCCAACAGATCGAGTGTCGACGTCTAATCCAGGTCTGTCCTACTGTAGTTGAAATACTTACAGCAGGCCCTGGTCCTTTGAAGTGGGTCTGTCTGTCATGCAGCTTTTGTAAGGTAGTCAGCTCTCTCATCACCATTAATGCCAGTAGTCCTGGTACCCACTGAACTGTCTGAGGTTGATTTCAAAGTTGTATTGTATGCGGTTTCTGACGCTTATAGGAGAACCTGATGATGACACAGCACAGGAGAGCCAACGCTTCAGGATTCAGCAGTCCTTCATCTCAAAGATGAGAGCTCCTCTTTTAAGAAAAGTAACGTTCATATTTGGAACAGAACGAGAAAAAAACTTTTTTCTGTTTGAACTGAGAAAGCTCCTTATATGAGAAACAAWATGTCTTGCTCCTCAGTCCTACCCACCCACACCTGTTCTCAGTTTGCTCAGGTATCCCTCAGCTTCACCTCATTCACCAGCTGAGTGTGGTGGTATGGCTCTCCTTGTGCCTTAGCTTTGGTTTTTTGCTGCCATGACAACMCTTTTCTTTTTTTGTTCAAATAAAGTTTATAAAATGTGATTGTCATGCCAGTTTGGATACTCTGGACCTACCTCGTACAACCGCAATAAAATCAAACCTTCACCTTTGTGTGGGAAAATTATTTCTTGCTACTCAATACTGTATACAATCTGACCTGTTATGTTGTCTTTTTATTCATATTGCAACAGTTTTCCTTTCTTTTAATTGCTGAGTTGATATTTTTCCCAAGCTTACATCTGGTATTCTCAATGAAAACTGGTCTTTTAGTTAACTCAAACACAAATTTACCTTGTGTCAATTACTGTTCCCCATTTCTTCTTCAAATAAATAATAAAATTGAAATTTTAATGCAGTCACTTGTACTGATTTTGATGTAAAAAATGACATTGTTCCCCCTCTATTTACAGGCAGCAAATGAAGACGGACTYGTAAAAATAATTTCATCTGCTGTTACCGCTGGAGATTAATCCACTTCAGTCCTCGTGTTAATTGACTTGAGAGCTTATATAAACACTTTCTGCTGTAATTGCTTACAGATCATGTCGGTGTGAAATTGGATTGGCGTCCCCTCGTTCTCCTCTCCTCTTTTTGTTCGGCGACTCTTCGCTCCTGTCACTGACTGGATGTTTGACTGAGGCAGTTAATGTGTTCAAGAGCCAGCTGTCCCTCAAATAACACACTCAATAATTCATACTGCACACACACACACTACCATACACCATGTGTGTGTGTGTGTGTTTACCTTTGGAGATGCAGGTCACTTCAACTCTTTCAGTCTGAAGCTGGCAAAGAACTGAAGCGCTGACAAAACCTGGAAATGGAAGTTTTCAGGAATTTAAAGAAATAAAAGCATGTGTGTCAGATAGACAGTAATAGCAAGTGTGTGTGTGTGTGTGTGTGTGTGTGTGTGTGTGTGTGTGTG